GGCGAGCGTGAACCTGTCGGCGCAGGCGTACTGGAAGCCTGACCCAGCCTTCGTGAAGTACATCAACTACGGTGCCGCCGTCAGCGAGGTACCATGATCCATGGTCCAAAGATCGCCAAATCATAACAACAAGGGATATTCATTTCTGATTGAGAAATTGCCCGAATTGCAGGTTGAAGTCGACGTGCTTACTGGGGGGACGACGATCCTGAGGAGCGACCTGGTGTACGACTGCGGGCAGAGCCTGAACCCGGCGGTGGACCTCGGCCAGGTGAGCTCGCCGCCGATCGGCACAGCTACATGATTGCTTGGTGTCGCCGAAGATCGTTGGAATCTGAATTCAGTTTTGATTGTTGGATCAGGTGGAGGGCGCATTCGTGCAAGGGGTTGGGTTCTTCACCAACGAGGAGTACACGACGAACGCGGACGGGCTGGTGGTGAACGACGGCACCTGGACGTACAAGATCCCCACGGTGGACACCATCCCGAAGCAGCTCAACGTGGAGCTGCTTACCAGCGCGCGCGACAAGAAGCGGGTGCTCTCCTCCAAGGCGTCCGGCGAGCCGCCGCTGCTGATGGCGGCGTCGGTGCACTGCGCGATGCGGGAGGCTATCAGGGCGGCCAGGCAGGACTTCTCGGCCAGCTCGCCGCTGACGTTCCAAATGGACGTGCCGGCCACCATGGCCGACGTCAAGGAGCTCTGCGGCCTCGACGTCGTCGAGAGGCACCTCGAGAGCCTCTCCTCTGCCGCCGCCGGTCCCAACGCCGCCGTCAAGGCGTGATGGTACTTGCATGAAATATATGTAGAAACGTGACACGTGTGTACTGTAAATGACACGAGCGAAGGTTTGGGACGCTGCTTGTGTGCGGGTGTGCATAGACGAGAAGGGAGCATACAACTAGCTACGTGGATCGATTTGAAGCGTTGGATTTCATCTAACGGCACGCATGCACGTGCTTGGATTCTGCTTGAGTGATGAGGATAAAAAGACTTCAGTTCCTGTTACAAATCTGGGTGATGATATGAAGTCAAGGACCGTTGGAAAACTGTATAAATAAATTTGAGGTACAGTATTAAGGGCCAGTTTTTATGGCAACTTTTTTTTAAGCGGCTTAAAAAATAAGCTGCCTTCCCAAGCAAAAAAAGAAAATCATTGCTAAATTTATTGTGACTTCTAAATTACTAGTTTAGAAACCCCAATCAAATAAGAGAGGCTGCTTATGACAAAAGCTAGAGAAAAGGCGGTTTATCTTTTAAGCTGTCAAAAGAACCGGCCCTCAAGATTTTGTAAATCTAAGATAGACAGTTAGAATAGTTGAGTTAACGATTACTGGCTTTACGAAGCAAACTGGACAGTTTGCACAAATGACACAAAGGTATCGGAGGTTCTGCAACTTTTGTGTGTGGACATGTGGAGGGGATGTTAAAGACAATATCTACAAGTGGAACGACCATAATGTCTAATGTGTGAAGATCGAATACAAAGGCGAAATAAAAAGCTTTAGCAAAGTGTCATGGTTGAAATTGTTTGGTGCAATCCATGCTCACGGCATGGAGCTTGGTATCTCAAGGAAGAGTACCTTGTCTATGGTGTGTTAGTTTGAGATCCTGTATTTATAGCAAATCCATATTTTATGGCTGGCGTAGTTTAAAAAATTGAACCGGCAATCGAACCGATGAGCCTCTTGGTTTAGGATTTTACTAGTCGGCCGTCGGTTCATCGGTTCATTTGCGATAAAAGACAGGAATGTTTCGGGTAATTTCTAAAAAGTATGACCGCACATCAAGAGAATACATACAATATTGAATGTAAACCGATAATGAATCATAAATTGTTAGTTTAGCTTAGTTGGTTGTTAGGTCTTTAGCATGCCTTGTTTGAAGGTTAGGTGTTTGATTCCTTGTTGATGCACATTCTTTTTTTGAATATTTTTTCAGTCTTCCTTAGAAAACAGGGCAAGGCTTTGTTCACGGTTTTTGGGTCAGACAAATGGTCCGGTTCAGTTTCTAAAACTATAGTATGGACAAAGTTACCAATGAATTTATAGGTATTTCCTCTCAAGAGCCTAGAGAACTTCACCCGAAAAAAAAGAGCCTGGAGAACTTAAAGCACAATCTCAACATTCCGAGGTGTGATGGAGGGAGAGGGGTATATGAACTATGACGTTCCCACATCCTGTATATACGAGGGATTAGGTTGAGGTCTGAACTACTCACTCTAATCCAAAATAAGTATCGAGGTTTTGAACTAAGGTTAGTTCAAAATTGCCACACTTATTATGGATTGGAGGGAGCACCTTTTTTGCATTTTATTTGTTGCCCTCTTTGCTTTTGATGGAACTGACTGCAACTTTGACGAGTGAACACAATCCGTCTTCAAACTCCTTTATTTCATTCGATCAAATGAAGTTGAACGTAGCGATGCCTTGGCCATCTCGTGTAGCATTTCCCCTATTTGTTATATCCCTTCCCCGTCCCATTGAGAAAGAGAATTAACGAATCCTAAGGCAAAGGAAGGAGAAACTCAAGGCCACTCTTCCTCTTGGTTTTCTTTCCGCGCTATTATGGATAGTTAAATAATGGGAAAAAATGGATTCAATTGTCAACTGGTCCTATCAAAAGTAGGATTGACTATAGATTCGAGCCATCGCACATGGTTCCATAAAATATGTACAATTTTCCCGATCTAAATTGAGCAGGTTTCCATGAAGAAGATCTTGTTCAGTATGTTCTATTCGATACTGGTAGGAGAAGAACCTGACTCGGTATTCTTAAAAAAATAGGGGAAGCAGAACCAAGTCAAGTATCAAGTGGATCCAAAGCATGATGAGCAACACCAGGTATCTGCATAGTTAAGATGCACATAGACAAAACCAACAATCTGGCAAAATGAAAATAAAATTTGACATGTCATCAACAGAAGAGTCATATAACCGACATTATGCCTATGTCGAACGCGGGGGTGGACTGATCCGGAGACTATGTTGTCACCCATTTTAGAAAAAAAACCTCAATAGCCACCTGATCCAACCACATATTGACCGTCTTGAACAACGATTGGCACTCCATTCATTGTAGCATAGACAACATACAAAGCAAGTCCGTACAGCGGAGAATAAGCTACAAAGAAGATTTTTTGCCATTAAATACCAAGTCATTTCTACGTTGCCAAAACGACCATAAGCAGGCATGCACTCCCACCCATGTTAGCGTTTTGAACCTATTTAAAATATTGTCCAACCAATGGTCAAAAATATTGGCAATACCCATGGGCGGATACAAATTTATCGCTACTTGGATGACTGGCCATGTAGAATGCACACATTTACACTGAAAAAAGAGGTGTTTTCATTGTCTCATCATGAGTTAAAAAGCTACACTTCCTGCTTCCATGCCAATTGCGATGAGCGAGGTTGTCTTGGTTGGCACAACTTCATATCGTAGATACCAGATGAAGATTTTTACTTTTATGGAAATCTCTGACTTCTAAATTTTCTGGTTATTATCCTCTGGAACCTCTGAATACGTGAGTGCACGGTACATAGAGCCGACTGTGAAGGGCTCAGATGTAGTAAGATTCCAAACAAAACATCTTGTTCTTGTGTCAGGCTAATCTTTTATCCAATCAGGATCAAAGATTTTGCCATGACAAAAGGTGAAGGCCAATCAAATCATGCCTGGAACAATATCTAATAGGGATGAACTGAGCACATGCGCAATAGTATATATCGTTCTTATCGCGAGCAATGCGGTACAAAGTTGGATATGTTCGCAGAGCCTGGCATTGCATAGCCATTTGTCCTCCCAGAAACAAATCTCTGGCCCATCTTTTATCATGAAGGATCGAAAGTGGAAAATATATTTCTTTGCCGTCATTAGCCCAACCAAAAAGTGTAAGTTGTCATGTTTTCAATAAGACCGAGACACGTCTTTTTGGCATAGCAGGGTTTGCCATACACCGTCCTGAGTGAGTAGTCTAAAGACCCATTACTAAGTGAGGCATCATTCTTATGTTAAACAAATCCAACGACACACACATATCTTACTGTTTAACACAGTACAATCGCAGATGCTCTTATACACATACATACACTCATCATGGACGGATGAATGCATGCCCTACCCTATGAGCACCTCCGAGGAACTGAGCCAACACAACATCTTGAGATTGATAAAATCATCACAGACGTCTCGTGGTCGACGGGAACTTTCCCTCTCACCGAACGAACATCATCAAAAATTCTGAAATTAAATCCAGAAAAATTCAAGCACGAGTGCCAAGTTTAGGACTTGGGCTCCTTCAGTTCAGGTAGCCCTAGTAACTCAGGGCATAGTGGTAGTAGCAAGATCGAAATTGTGAGATTGGCTCGGTCACAAACTATCAAGAAGAAAGATCAAGATTCATTTTTTGTCGGGCAAAGAACTCTATCTAGGAAATGACTTCGCTCACTAAAGACCAAACAACAACCATTCTAGATGAAAGGACACAAGCCTGAAACTTGAGTGCGGATCTATTTATCTTGAATTCCTATCTTGAGAAATAAAGAGTTGTTGTCTTTAGAAATGCTAGTATAGTAACCGAGATGGACTAGTTCCATCATGAGGAATCTATCCATTTGAGCTACGCTTATTAGTTCGTAGCTTACCGTATCATTCTAGTTGATCATATATATACACGCCCACACTTCATACGCTTAAGATTACATAAAATTCAAAGCATAATTATAGGGCGATGATGGACTCTGCTTCCACAGACAGACCCGACCGATACATCTTTTATTCAAATGTCCACATAAACATCACAGATGGTGGAGGTGGACGGATGGGAAACGACGATTTACAACAACAGAAAGGCACACTACACATCGATCACAAACACAAACCGACTCGCGACAAGACATAAGTAGACGCCGTACACTGGTGGCATTCTTCATCTTGAGCTGGAAGCTGACATTGACGACCATGGAATGGATTCATCGTCGGTGGCCGCATGGATGCTCTAGCGAGTCATCCCCGCGTGCGTCTGCGGCGCCGTGGTCTTCCCCATCTTCTCCATGTTGGCCTGCCATCCTGCACCAACGGACAACAACATCAACGCCGGTAAAGACGCCTCCACGCGCAGCCGGCCATTGATGCGTCCTAACTAGTGATGGAGGTTCGCCGAGGATTAATTGGTAGTAGAGCGTACGTACCGAGGGCCATGTCGAAGCCGCGGGACTTGAGCTCGCGGTACTCCTGGCAGAGCGCGCAGGCCTCGCAGAACCAGTGGACGCAGCAGTCGCCGCAGGGCGTCTCCTTGAGCCGGTACTGCTCCCGCAGCCTGGAGCGGTAGCCGCAGGAGTAGAGGCAGCCCATCCCCGTCATCGACGCCAGCGCGGCGTACACCGTCCCGCTCGCACAGCAAGCTGGGCAGAGCTCGTTCGTTCGTGCCGTCGTTAGTTCTTGGTTCACCGGACAATAGATAGATAGATCATTCGATCGTCGTCTAGACAAGAAAAATTAATTAACTCACATGTGGCGCCCATGTCGACGATCTCGGCGATCCTCCCGAAGACGACGCACGGGCAGAAGAACGTCAGGCAGCCTGCAGCACACACGTCCGGCCCGGTCATCACAAGTTCACTCACAACCAGGGTCCAGGGCATGCATGCATTGCATGCTTCTATCTGGGGAATTAATGAGCTTACAGCCGCCGACGTCGTCGAAGCAGCCGCAGAGGCCGCTGGACCAGGAAGCGTTGTTGAGGCTGGCCATGGGGATGCTGCTGCGACGGAGACTTGGGGTTGCAGGAGTAGGACTATCAGAGAGAAGCTCGCCGGACTTGTGTGTGTGCATGAGCGGCCGTAGTGTGCGTATTTAATGTCGACGGAGCCGGGTTCCTTCCGCCCGACTTCACCCGGCCGCCATGTGGGCCTCGCGACAGTTAAACGTCGGTTGTCACCGGACGAGACTTGCCTGCTTTCCTTGCGTGTGCCCATCTGTCTCCCGCATACGTGGCTTAATTTGATTGGAATAAAATAAAACCCGGTCTCACCCTTTTAAAATCAGGAGGGGAGATGATTAGATTAGAAAAAAAAAAAGAAAAAAAGATAGTTGTAGAATGAGGTGGAAGCACAGATGAAAGCATGGGAAGAGAGCAGGCAAGCCGGATTCGTTGTCACCAGCGCAACGCTAGCATGTCCAAGTCCAAGGTTGTTTGTGCGTGCGCTTTGCCATCTCGTGCCGTCATGCATTGATGAAAACCAAGCGGAAGCCGTCCCTTTCAGAATTTTCTTTACGGAAATAGAAAAGGAAACTACAAAATGAAAGTGGAAATTGGCTGTGTGCGTCCCATGATGAGGAAGCCAGGGTACTCTCTCTTTTCTAATCTAAATAGTAAAATCATGAAAGTGGAAACAGAAAAAATCTTGTAAAAACTGGATAACTATTTCTTTGTTTTGTTCAGCTCGCCATTCACTATTTCTGATGGAAGACGGGTACACTTTTGGAAACTTTTGGAAGCACAAATCACGAGAAAACATATCAATGGCACCCCGTAAAAAAAAGCATATCAATGGTGTGGCTAAGAGCTTCACTAATCTAGTCACACGGCAGCCTTGGCCGCTATATTATCTAATCGATCACACGGCAACCTACCTTGACCACAATTTTATATTAAACCTAAACGACTCGTAATGGCTCGAACACAGCCAAACAGCAGGCAGACACCAACCTGATTACAACTCGGATACAAGATCATTTCCAACAGCCCGAGAGCGAGAGAGAGAGTCCCGTGCCTACTGACGGCCGTCATCAGGTAACTCGGCAGTTAAGCACTTGTGAGGCTGGTTGTAGTGATAATATCATAGCTAGTATCATGCATGCCAACTAGGAAATTTTGATGAGATGTCGTAGCATTAAATGAAGAAAGAGAGGGTGGAGTATCATATCATAATACTCCCTTCGTTTTTATTTACTCTGCATATTAGAGTTGACTGAAGTCAAACTTCGTAAAGTTTGACCAAGTTTGTAGAAAACAATATAGATATTTATCATAATAAATCTATACGATGTGAAAGTACATTCAACAATAAATCTAATGTTGTTGATTTGTTATTGTATATCTTAATATTTTTGTTTAAAAACTTGGTCAAAGTTTGTAAAGCTTGACTTTGACCAAAGCTAATATGCGAACTAAATAAAAACAGAGAGAGTACTGTATCATAATTAATGTTATGCTACTTTATGTCATATATGATAATAAATAAAGTACCATATGATACTAATATATGATACTATGCATTATGAAAATAGTATTATACACTAATATCATATGCATGATATTAGCATATGATACTCCCCATTACAACCACGCTGATGTCATGCATTGCCGATCGATCTCATCGATGGCTAGCCGAACCTCGCTGTTGCGTGGACGGACGCCCTCGGTCGTACGTTATTGGCTGTGTATATGTAAGCTTGCCTCCGGCCGGCGGAGCACCTAGCTTTCTCCACTACATGCAGCAGAGTCCAGCGACGAGAGGCTGAAGGCAAACGCACTACGTGTCAACATCAACATCTCTGGCATGTGTGGTCAGCTATCTCAAGTTGAGTTGATGAGCATTTGTTGATGAAATTCTCTTATCCTGCCATGCAAGGGTGGCGCGCATTCGCGTTTTTTGTTTGTTTGACAAACGATACTTTATTTATGCATCTGTGAGGACTAACTATCATATACTTTGTCTATTTTTAAATATTTGTTTTTCTAGATATTTCAACAAGTAACTCATACGGTGCAAAATAAGTGAATCTACACTCTAAAATATATCTATACATTCGTATGTGGTAGTCCATTTAAAATCTCTAAAAAAACAAATATTTAGGAACGGAAGGAGTAGAGTATAATAAATGAGATCACCTCAACCTGAGGTGACTTGGCCAACGTTTGGTTTGGCACTTTTTCTTTTGAGGCAAGTTTATTTTTAGGCTAAAACACGTTTACTCTTTATTGCTCAATAATGTTTAGAGGAATACAATTGATAGCATGTTGCATAAGCCACAAATGGCGGAGACAAGTTTGGTTTGACACTTCTGTTTGACTATATGGTGGCCCGGGCCATAAACCAGCACTGGGCTAGGCACTGGTTGTTCTTCGATCCAGCTGGAGGGGGGCGCCGTAGCATTATTTTATTTCAGTATCGGTCTTCAACGGCCTTTGTGTCCGATTTCAATGGTTATCTTTCGGGTTTCGGTGGACTGCCTTTTTATTGGTTTTCTTTTTCTTTACTTTTTATTTTATTTTGTAACACACGACTATTTTTCCACACATATTATACATTCTTTGTGTGCATCAGGAATTTTTTCTCATAAGCGCAAAACATTTTTGAAATGCATGAAAACATTTTTTTTTCAAATATTGTTTTGATGTTTACATTTTTCATACACATTGTGCATTTTATTATGCATCCGAAACATCTTTATAAATTCTTAACATTTTCCAAATAAGTAATTAACCTTTTTATAAATACATGTTTTTATTTTTTTGAATATGTGTTAATTTTTTGAAATACATAATCATTTTTGGATGGCTATGAAATATGTTTTTAACTACGCGAGCATTTTTTGTACATTGTATAAATATTCTTTAAAATTGTCATGAATACATTTTTAAATGCGTCATTTTTATAAATGTAAAGTGCTTTTGAGAATTGTACGAAATATTCTTTATTTACATGGAAGAAATATATTATAATTTTTCTAATATCACATGCAATATTTTGAAACACATGAACATTTTGTAATGCTATGAAAGTTTTCAAAATTATGGTAACCCTTTTTTCTACGCTGTGTAAACCAATTATTTTACATTGTGTTCACATTTTACAAATTCATGTTTACTTAAAAAAATAAGTTTTGGAATACATTTTTAACATGAACATAAGAAAAAAACAACAAATGAAAAAAAGAGCAGAAAACGAAATTATCTGGAGGAAGCTACTTGGCCCAGCCAATTAGTAGCGAGTAGCGATGCTGAGGCGAGACCAGCTTCTGTCTCCACAAAGCAAGACAGGCATATCAGCCAGCGCGCCACAGCTAACTAGCCAGGCCGACTGTTGGAGCGCGACCGAAAAAGCATATCGTTTAGAATTTTCTGATTGAGTTTTTTGCTTTTTTTATTTTTCTAGTATTCTACTAAAATACTCTATAAATTTTTAAAAATGTTGATTTTTTAAGAAAAATGTGAATTCCAAACTTTTTTACAATTTTTTTTTCGAAAAACGTTCTTAGATTACAAAAGTAGTCATAGATATGTTTGCGAATTCAATTTTCTTGCCTATTTTAAAATATACCCATGAATTTTAAATGGTTTGAAATTCGAAAAATGATCTTGAATTTAAAAATTATTCATATTTTTTCTAAAATGTTCAGGAATTTCAGAAAATATTTGTGAAAATCAAAAACTGTTCACAATTGTCAAATTGGTTCTGAATATAAAAAGAATTCATCAATTCGAAAAGTGGTCACCGAAATGTTTGTGATTTCGAAAAAAACTCCAATTGGACAATGTTCACGAATACAAAGTTTTTTTACATTCAGAAATTGGCTGAGAAAATGTTTGTGGATTATATTGTTTCGCAGATCTAAAAGATGTTCATGAATTTTATTTGTTTTGTAAATAAAAAATGTTCATAAACTCTAAAAATGTTCGCAATTTTTGAAATGATTCAGAAATTTCAAATATATTATGTTAAATCCAAAAGTCACAAATATTATTCATGAATACGAACAAAATTCATGAAAAAAAATCAAAAATTTCAAAAAATATTCGTGAATTGGACAATGTTCATGAATTCAACAAAATTTGCGGCTTTGATTTTTTTCACAATTTTTATAAATATTGCAAATTAAAAATATACAAGAATCCAAAAAAACATGAATTCAAAAAATCTATCTGATGTCAGAAAATTCACAGATTTAGTAAATATTTGTGAAATCCCAACAAGGTTGTGAGTTTGTATAATGCACTAATTTCAACTATGTTCGTGAATTTTGAAAATGTAGGCCGCATTGAAAAGGAAATCGAAAAAAAAATAAGAAAATGAAAATGAAGAAATTAGTAAGAAAAATCGTTAGAAAGGAACACAGAAAAAAATAAATTAAAAACCAGAAAACAAAATAAAACCCAATAAGGAAACTAGATAAAAAGAATAAAAAAGAAAAAGAAAAGAAAAGAAAAAGAAAATAGAAGGAAAAGAAAAAAAACACAGAAGAAAAAAAAAACGATCTTGAAAGGTTCTTGAATGAGATACTCCCTGCCAATCTACTTGGGCCAGCCTCAATTTCCATGCGTAGTAACCATAGGGTTTACCCGTTTTCACACTAAGGCCCCGTTCCGATCGTCTCCCGCGGCCAGCTTCAGCGTCTCCGCATGTGGAGACGCCCCGAACGCTCTCGCTCCTCGAAGCCAGCTCCGTGGAGACAGCGCCAACGCAGTGCAAATTGGTGGAGCAGCAGAATCCCAGCTCCAGAAAAAACAGAAGACGGAGTTGAGACAAATTACGGGCGAATGCCATTCCGAAGTGGGGAGCGCGTACCGGTTCGATCTGGTCAACGTCGCCCCTCCTGATCGAGTGACTGCTCTGTCCCCCCACTCGCGCGTTCCTCCTCTCTGTTGCTGCCAACCTAGTAGCAGCCCACCCTGCCGCCACCCCGCCGCCGGCCGGCTGGCCGCCGCGCCGTCGCCAGTCTCTGCCGCTGATCCCTCGCATCTCGGCCGACGCCGTGGACCGACGCCCTCCTCGCCCTCCTAGCTCAAGGTGAGCTGCCCCTCCCCCTACCTCTCTCTCTCTCTCTCT